ATATACATATATATACATATATAAATACATATATATATTTGTGTACATACATATGTATGTATATAAACTTTTCACTCTTGCAAGTATTTCTGTAGGGTAGCTTCTTAATTGCTGGTGAAAGAATTTTAAAGTTTTAATATACAACATTTAAAATATTATTATTTGTTGTTAAGTGCCATCAAGCAGGTTCTGACTCATAGCTACCCTGTTCAGGGTTTCCAAGGAACCACTGGTGGGTTTGAACTGCCAACCATGTTGCTAGCAATCTTGTGCTTATCCTACAAGACCACCCCAGGACTCCAAAATATCATTGTCATTAGCTGCTTGTTGTTAAGTACCGTGGAGTCGGTTCCGACTCATAGTGACCCTGCACAGCGTTTCCAAGGCTATAAATCTTTATAGGAGCAGAAAGCCTCATCTTTTTTCCTGTGGAATGGCTGGTAGTTTTGAACTGCTTACCTTAAGGTTAGCAGCCCTATTCATAACCACTACGCTACCAGAGAACTTCCTATGTCTCATTCCCCCAGCCCGTTATCAATCATTTAAATTGTTGCCAATTGATATAAACAAATGTATGGCTTAAATCAGTTTTCTTTGATGTGAAGAAGCCTGCTTTCATAATTTTACGGTTTGCATTTCTTCTACTGGCCTGTTTTAGGTTCTTTCTTCACTTTTCTCTCCTTTTCTTGTTGATAGATGCTCTTTTTAGATTTTGGTTAACAAACTCTTGTCTGCTAAAAGCTAAGCCTGCTTTCTTCTACTCTAACTTCTATCTTTTAACAATCACTTAGGGTCTCGGGTCTCCATACTGACTGCCTTGCTATAGACTGAAAGTTGTTTAGCGTTCTGTCTATTTGTCTTTGTAGCCTCAGCACCTAGCACTTGTCTGGTATAGATTGAGTACTCTGTCCATTCTATAGATGATTTTCAATGAATCGGTTCCAAGACCTGATCCTTGTTTGCAAGGAATTTAAAGTCTGGTGTCACATAAACTAGTCAAGAATTTAGTAGTATGGAAAAAATATAAAACAGAAAAACAGCAGCAATTGTCTAAAAAATGTCGAAATTGCTTATTAAATTATGTGCTGTAGGAAAATGTATCTGTTTGAAAACCTTCCTAACTTAGTCTTGTGAAACATCCTACTATTCGCTTTCTTTTTGTATTGAGTTCTGTACTGAAAGGTGAAATTTTTTGTATTATTTAAATAATGAAATCTGTATCAGCCATATAGGAAGTACATTATTCTATCTTTTGAAGCAAGTTGCTAAGTTTATTTTAAAATTTCTCTCTATATGATTGTGTTTTTAGTCTTAGGCCTAATTTCAATTTTACCTTGAATTCTAATTTTTTTTTTCCTTGCCATTTCAGGTAAGACCATGAATTATGGCATTTCTTAAATGAAACATTCAGGAATGAAGTGAGGAGAAATCATAGATACAGAGCATAAGTGATTTTTAAGTGATGTCTATTAATCTGACGATAGATATATATATTTACCTCCTTAGTAATGTAAGAAGTCTTTGTGGAAAGCAGAGAAGTAAGCAGCTGCATTTTTTTTGCTCACCTAAATACTACTGGAAGGTAAGCCACATCAGTCTACAAAGAGGTTTTCATACAAGCAAACTAAGATGTAAGTGGACCAAAAGTGAGGTGCATTCAGGCAGTAAGCGCTGCTCCTGTCCCAGCAACCATGGTTTGCGTATTGGAATTTTGAAACTTAGCACTTCTGCTCCTAAGGGACTTACGAAAGTGAGCATTCATATGTCCCGGATTAAAAACACTCTACACTCTGTTTCAAAGGCTCTTTTTGGCAATCAGAATGAAATGATTTCACGTTTAGCTCAACTTAAGCCAAGTTCTGGAATATTAAGAAAAGTGTCAGATAGTGGCTGGTTAAAACAGAGAAACATAAAACAAGCCTTCAAAACGCTGAAGAAACGTAGTGATATTTCAGCCTCAAAAAGTACTTTTCCAGAAGAAAAAAGTCACATTGAAGATAAAGACGAAGATACCGGTAAACAAAGTCTTTTTGGGTACACAAGTAGTATAACCACAAAATTTGAGGAGTCATTCTCCTTTTTATCAAACCATATTAATTCATATTTCCTACGAAAGGAAAAAATGGCTCAACAAAAGGAAAATAAACATCTCCAGGATAAATCAGAATTTGAGGGTAAAACAGTTCAAGAAGATGCGACATCTCCCAGTCCTGGCATCCTGAATGGTGACAAGCCATGCTCAGAATCCCCTTTAGATGCTGCAAGCCCTAGTGAGGCTTCGGGAGTTGTTCCAGTTTCTGCTAAACAAAGTATTGCTAACTTTCTTTCTCGACCAACTGGAGGTGTACAAGCTTTAGTCGGGGGTTACATTGGTGTCCTTGTACCCAAATTAAAGCCTGAAACAAAACATATGTCAGAAGAAAAAGAGGCTGTAAAAGCTGAACTGGCAAACAGAAAAGACAAAGCTACAGAAGAGAAAAAGCGTTTATCTCTTCAGCGAGAAAAGGCAAGTGGCTTTATGTTGTATTTTTTGTCAGATTTAGAACATGCTTAATTTTCGTAGTGAGACCTAGGAAACTTTAACCATTTATTGGTATTACCAGAACAGTTTCATATTCTCATCATATGTATTTAATATGTATTTACAGATTATTGCAAGAGTAAGTATTGATAACAGAACCCGGGCATTAGTTCAAGCATTAAGGCGAACAACGGATCCAAAGCTCTGCATTAATAGGGTTGAAGAGCTGACTTTTCACCTTCTAGAATATCCTGAAGGAAAAGGAGTGGCTGTCAAGGTAACTTCTAATTTATCTGATTTTGTGTTAGAATGAAAATACTGGTAAACCTTTTTAAATGGAGAGGGCAGGGTCTTTCATCATTCTATTTAAATGTTTGTGTGGTTTTTATCAATCATACATGTGGTGTATAATCAGTAATTGCCCCCATCATTCTATGATAGAATTATACTAGCAGTTCCTTGTGTTCTGTTCTGTACATGATGCTGTTGGTGTTGTTTTTGAGAGCCAGGAGTCCTTTTTCTGAGGCTGTAAATGTTCTGGAGCAGAAAGCCTCAGGAGCAGCTAGTGGTCTCAAGCCGGCCGACCTGGTGGTTCATGGTCCAGTGTTTTTCATTTAGAGCAGGGATGGGGAACGTCCAGTCTGAAGGCTATATAAGGTCTAGCCATGCCAAGGTAACCATAATTCCAGCTATCACCTTGTAAGTGCCTTGGAGTCGGTTCTGTCTCATAGCATCCTTGTATAGAGTTTTGGAGGAGCAGCTGGTGGATTTGAACTGCAGACCTTGTAGTTCGCAGCCTAGTGCTGATCCTACAGCGCACACCAAGAGCTTTCACATTAAGGGTGAGTTAATTAAATGACCAAATATATTAGGGTAATTTTTAAGGTGATAAGTTTGTATAGCTCGTGAATGCCGGCTCGAGAGCCCCAGCACACCTTTAAATATGCAATTAGTACTAATATCTTTGCCTTGAGATTAAACATTTATAAAATATAACAGATCTCAGCATGTCAGTTGAATTGCCCAAGAGCTGCCAAATTTTTCTTGAATAGTATGTAAATATTTCTAATTATGTAGCAGTGCTTTTAAAATAGTGCTGTGTTTATTTCATGGTGTTTTCATGTTTGAACATGTAACAATGTTTAGTCATCTTATTGGTAATTGAATTAGTAATTGTATTTAATTAATTATTGGTAATTGAATTATTAATTGTATTTAAAGCAATCAGCCTTTCTCTGTGTCACTTCTCTCAAATACAAAACAGTGAATGTAATTTGGAACCATTTAAATTGTTTTCTGAGAAATGCTACAAATATGAATATTGTGGTTGAGTGTATATATATTTAACATATCTGTGCTATTAAATTATTTTGTTGACAACAACAACAACAATTTTATAGATTTTACGTAATATGTGCCTATATCCAAAAGTCAGGAGGCAAAACATTCAAATAGTTCAACAGATTCAGTTGTTCAACAAAACACTGGAAGTTGAAGTCCACTCAGACTGGTGACCTACTTCCAAACTCTTATCCAGTGACAGTACTATGGAGCACAGCCAGTTCTACTCTGACACACGAGGTCACCGCGAGTCACAGCCAACTTGACAGCAACTGCGTTCATGGTATTGCACGTATTGCACAATATACAATCAAGGAAGGGCGCATCATCCAAAGACTTAGAGAACTTTCTAGCAAGATGACTGTCAAAATGTGGAATAAATGTGAAGATCAATTATAATTTTCTACATGGAAAGCTAAAAAATAAGCAGTAGAGATTTCTAATCAAATTTTTAACACTATTTAGTCACTATGCTATCTTTTCAACTTTGTCATTAAATAATACAAAATAATTTAATAGCACAGATATGTTAAATATATATACACTCAACCACAATATTCATATTTGTAGCATTTCTCAGAAAACAATTTAAATGGTTCCAAATCGCTTAACTTTTTACTGTAACAATTAATAGTTTGTAAAATTGTGTTAAGAAGATTATATAATTGCTCAGCATCATATGTTTAAAAAACAAACTTAGAAAAAGACTAATTTTAATTATCCTAGATATTATATACTAGGTCAAAAACTAATATTTTACAATTACTGAGAAAATAATAAAAACTGGGACCGTGATAATATGTGATCATCTGCATATGTTAATTAAAAATTATTAGACATTTTCACCCCTGATTTGAAAAGAAAAAAATTTAACTTTTCTCTCCATATAGGAAAAAATTATTCCATATTTATTACGAATTCGACAAATTAAGGATGAAACTCTTCAGGCTGCAGTTAGAGAAATTTTGGCTTTAATGGGCTACGTGGATCCTGTCAAAGGGAAAGGAATCCGAATTCTTGCAATTGATGGTGGAGGAACAAGGTGAGGCTAGAAAAAAATGAGTTTTAAACTTACAGATTCAGTGTAGTTTTAGGGATTTTCTTTTTACTGGACTCTATAATTATATAATTAGAAAGTCAAATTTAAAAAATAAAACATGAAATGGTTTTTCTTAATACATTAATTTATCTAAAAGCTGCTTTAACATATACCTGAATGACCTTTTATTTTAATTTAATCTAATATTTCTAGTTTAGTTCAGTCTTTCCAGGCTTTCTTTTTGGTATTTTAGGACTTTTTGTTTAACCACGAGGCTCTTAAAATCTTGGCAATATTTTTTAATTTAGCTCTTTTGTTTTATCTTACCCATATAGATCATTAGACATAGCACTTAAATATGTCTAAATACAAATAAAGTGATGATGATTAGAAAAGGAGAATCAGCCAGTATCTTCCTGACTCCCAATATAATTATTTGCAGTTTTCAGTTTTGGCAATTACAAGAAAGAATTGTTTTCTTAGCTTAGAAGGAGATAATATCATCAAAGTCCATTGTTACTACTAGCAATTCATCATTTTTCTCTCTTAGTTTTTTTAGAGCATGCCTACTAGTTGCTTAGATTCTTTGGCTTGGCTTTGTGAACCTTAGCCCACTTTTTTTTACCTTGGGTTCCAGTTCCCTGTTAGATCTACTTTTACCTACTTGTTGTTGTTTGTTACGTGCCGTGCCGTCAAGTTGGTTCCAATTCATAGCAATTCTCTATAAGATTTCCAAGGAGCGGCTGGTGAGTTTGAACTTCTGACCTTGCAGTTCAAACTGACTTTGCAGTTGTGTGCTTATCCTACGGTACCACAACAGCACTCCTTTACTTGCTTGTTGTTGTTTGTTGTTAGTGTCATTGAGTAAGTTATGACTCACAGCTACCCTGTATAGAGTTTCCAAGGAGTGGATGGTGGGTTTGAACCTCAACACCACACCCAGGACTCAGTTACTGTTAAACATCCCTACAATGTACAAGACAGACACCTGCAACAAGAATTGTCCTACTTAAAATGATAATAGTATCACTGCTGAGACACCTTGGTTTAGGGGGATATGAGAAAGTAAACAGAAAGACTCGCTGTGAGTCAGAACCAACTCAAAGGCACCAGACAAGACAGCAGGGGAGGGTTCTGTTGAAAGCAATAAGGAGTGAAGTCTGTGAGAAGTGGGACCTTCATGTCTTCTTTCTTTTGCATGAGAGGACCTGAGGAATCTTGGTGTGGTACAAGGCAGTGGCTTCCTTTTTTTGTATAAAAGTACCTTGTACAATGCTAACACCTCAACATAAAACAAAAAACTGGACTAGTAGGCAACAACCATCATGATAAATGGAGAAAATATTGAAGTTGTCAAGGATATCATTTGACTGGGATTCAGAATCAATGCTCAAAGAAGTGGCAGTCAAATCAAATGATGTGTTACATTGGGTAAATCTGCTGCAAAGGCCTCTTTAAAATGTTAAAGAGCAAAACTATCATTTTGAGTATCCAGATGCACCGTATGCAAGCTGTAGTATTTTCATTTGCCTCATACACATGCAAAAGATGGTTAATGAGAAAGAAAGACTGAAGAAATGACACATCTGAATTGTGCTGGTGAAGAATATTTAACGTATCGTGACTGTCAGAAGAGCAAACAAATCTACCTTAGAAGAAGTGGAGCCAGACTACTCTTTAGAAGCAAGGTGTCTTGGCTGGCTTCTCTAGAGAAGCAAAACCAGTGAATGAATATATACATGTATGTGTATATGTGTTATATGTGTGTGTGTATATGTATGGTGACTATGTGTCATGGAATCAGCTATGACTCATAGCAACCCTTTTTAGAGTTTCCAAAGCTGTAAATCTTTACAGGAGCAGAAAGCCTGATGACCTTGTGGGGTTAGCAGCCCAACTCGTATTAACCTACTATGCTGCAGAGCTCCTTGCAGCCCATCGGTTGAAAAGATAGTTCCTCTAGGATGTGGCCTGTTTCCAGTATATTAAACACTCAGGCAAAGCTCATTGGTTTTCTTCTGGGTCTGAATCGTGCATCTGACTTGCCCCCCATCCTCTTGTTCTTTGGATTTGAGCCAGTGCCCTGCTCTATTACCTGCCAATCCTGGGACCCATCAGCAGTCTACCTTCTTACCTGCTGGACCTGTCGGCCTGCCTGCCCGTCAGTCATGGCTCATCTAACTTGAACTTGGACTTTTCCACCTCTGCAATGGTGTGAGCCATTTCCTTGATATAAACTTCTCTTTATAAATAAATATATATATATATATATATTGTAGTTATCCCACCTGTGTGTATGTGTGCATACATATATTATTAGGAGGGACACAGTTGTTGGAGAAGGTTATCATGTTTGGTAAGGTGGAGGGTCAGAGAAAAAGAGGGAGACCCCCAACGAGATGGATTGGCCAAGTGGCAGCATCGATGGACTCAAGCGTGGCATCAGTAGTGAGGTTGGCCCAAGATTGGGAAGTGTTTCGTTTTGCTGTGCCTAAGATAGCTATGAGTCAGTACCGACTCAGTGGCACCTAACAAGAACAACCTAAGTATATACACATGTGTGTATACATATATACACACATATATATGTATGTGTGTGTCTGATGGTGGTGAGCTGTGGAGTTGGCTCCAACTCATAGCAACCTCATATAGGGTTCCTAAGGCTGTAAATCTTTACAGGAGCAGTAAGCCTTATCTTTCTCCCACAGAACAGCTGGTAGTTTTGAACTGCTGACCTTGAGATTATCAGGTTATCAGCCTGATTCATAACCACTATGCTACCAGAGTGCTGTATGTATATATATATAAACACACACGTATGTATATACACACATACATGCATATGTGCACATGTGTGTATATACATACATGCACACCCACATATATGTGTGTATGTATATATATGGAGAGAGAGTCCTGGTGTAACTCTACAGCATAAGCACTCAACTTGTCAGTGGTTCAAACTCACCAGTCACTTCTTAGAAACCCTTATTACAGGGTCGCTATGAGTCGAAACCGACTCAGTAGCACTTAACTATATAGGTATGTATGTATGTATGTGTGTATGTGTGTGTGTATATATAGAGTCTTGGTGTGGTGCTGTGGGTTAATGCGCTGGACTGCAAAGTCAGTTTGAACTTCGAAGTTGGCAGTTCATGCTCACCAGTCACTCCTTGGAAACCCTATACAGGGTTGCTATGGGTCAGAACCACCTCAATGGCACTGAACAACTATATGTGTGTGTGTGTGTGTGTGTAAATTATAAAGAAAAGTCTGTATCAAGGAAATGGTGCCCACAGGTGTAGAGGTGAGAAAGTCCCATGTCCAGGTCAAATGAACCAAGCAGGGTATAAAAGGTAGTAGACTGCTGATAGGTCCCAGGATCGGCAGGTAATAGGCAGGGCACTGGCTCAAGTCCCAAAGAACATGAGGTCAGAGGACAAGCCAGATGTAAGATCCAGACCCTGCAGAAAACAAACCAGCTTTGCCTGAGTATCTAGTATATTGGAAGCAGGCCACACCCATGAGGAAACATCTTTTCAATTGATTGGCTGTTCATAGCAGAACAGATCATAGAGTCAGTTACATTGTATTAGATCTCATTATTGGAAAACTACATCTAACTGCTACCAAACCTCCCAGAATTCTGGCCTAGTCAAGTTGACACAAAACCTTAACTGTCACACGAAGATAGCAAGATTTATCTTTGGATGTAGCATCAGAAGGGACCAGTCTCTGGCGATGGACATCATGCTTGGTTAAGTAGAGGGTCAATGAAAAGAAGGAAGACCCTAAACAGACTGGACTGATACAGTGGCTACAATAGACCCAAACATAACAACAAATGTGCGGATGGCACAGGACCAGAAAATGTTTGTTTTCTATAATGCATAGGTTACTGTGATTTGGAATGGACTTTGCAGCAACTAATAACAACAGTAACAGTATATTGTTAGGCATATAATACAGTTTGACAAGTACATGTTTTTTAAATTCTTTCTAAAATTATTTATGCATACATTATCAATTTTAACACCTCCCCCACATGATTACGTAAGTAGATAAATTGGGGAAGGGAAAAAAAAATGTTTTTTATAAACTAAGACCATAGCTCACAACTCAAAGACTATTTTGTTTATTTTTTCCTTCTAGTCTTTTCTGTGTGAATAGATACATGCATGTTTTATGTACTTCTAATAAAAAGTGGTCACATTGTTAAATATATTTTGTCTAACATCTTCAATTCTACATTTTCACCTTGAATTTAGAATGTATTTATGTTAAGAGTCATCTTGTCTTTTCTTACCTGTTACCAAATCCCCATTATCTGTTGCTGTAAAAAGAATCGGCGTCTTAAATTTTCTACTTCAATCACAGTGTTGTTGTTCAGTATTGTCAAATCAGCTCCAACTGAGGAGCGGCTGGCCGGTTTGAACCACCAATCTTGCATCCAGTGCTTATTCTACAACACCACACAAGGGCTCTTTACAATATTCTCTGTTAAAAGTATCAAGGCACAATTCGCCACTACGTATTTTGTCTTATGGTGGCTAACTACTGTTGTGTTCCAGGATTCATTGTCCCTACTTCCTGTACTGGGTTTAGAACTCTTCACTGTTTTTGTATATTTTCCCTATGTTGAATGTTGTCCACTTGGTACACACACCCTGAAGTGCCCAACCCCTTTGGCTAGTTCATCTTTGACTTTTCTAGAATTGTATACAGTCATCAGCATTTATTAACATGCTCTTAATGCAGAGCATTGCCCTAAGGTTGCTGAGAGTTTTTAAAAGTTAATAAGCAAAGGGGAGTTTAAAAATATGACTAGGGAGTTACATAAAACAAGAAGGTATAAAAGTGTAGGTGACCCACATCGTTGGTAGAAGAAACCAAAATATGGCATCCCAGAAGTGGTGAGTGTAGGTTCTAAGTGTTTGAGTGTAGGTTCTAAGTGTTTTTAAGAATTGGTGTGTTTTTAAAAGTATTTTACATTAGCATATATTCTTATGTAAAGATGTATTAACCAAAATTTAGAAGCACATTTAATAATCTTATTTGAATCTTGAATTTTCAAAAGTAATCCTAAAAGCGTGTTAATCAATGAGTTTTTACTGTTGTGAGTGTAGGGTATTAGTTTTCATTTTAAATCTTAAACTACAAAGCAGTTTGTAGAATTGTTTTATTAAGTAGCTTAAATACCCTTGAAACAGAAATTCTTATTTTGTTTTTAATCTTTTCCTACAGAGGTGTGATTACTATTCAGACACTGCGAAAATTAGTTGAACTTACTCAGAAGCCAATTCACCAGCTCTTTGATTATATTTGTGGTGTAAGCACAGGTCAGTAACAGTCTGTAGAGTGATACATTCCTGCACTGCGTTGAGGAGCAGCACCGTTAGCATGTATATTTAAGATCCTCTTATTCTCTGAGAAATGAGTCTCTTTCATGTTCTGTTTACTGAACTTTTAAAAATGTATATAATGAATGTAGATTTTAGTTTGCTTTACCTAATAAATTTTAGTTAAGCCACAATCCCAAGTACAAATTGTAAATTTATGCTTTGTCTTATATATACCTTAAGAAAACTGGTCAAATGGAAGAAAGGTACTCTTACGGTCCTTGAACCAATAGAAAATTTAAGGATGGGTAAGATTTTCTGTTTGTGTGAGAAGGATCCCTCTGTGAGGAAATGGCTCCCCATGGTGTTCTTCATCTGGTTGTTTGAAGCCAAAATTTAAATCGAGAAATGTGAGAAACTGTTTTTTTAAAAAGCTACTTTTATGCATTTAACATTGTAGAAGTTGGCAACTATCAAATGGATTTTGTTTTCTGTGTTTTTATTTTTGCCTCATTTTCTTACATTAGGCTCTTCTATCTGTTATGTATCTCTCTTCCTCCACACCACTGTGTGTGTCCATTAAACCTTTCAGGATCTGTTCAGATTGCGTAGCTTAGCTGCTAAGACTGTTACAATTCTAGATCTTTGCAATATTTTCTACTATGGTGGTGTGGTGATGGTGGTGTGCTGTGGAGCCACTTATGACTCCAGTGACCCTATGGTGTCTGAGGCAGTAAATCTTTACAGGAGCAGAAAGCCTTGTCTTTCTTTTACGGACTGGCTGGTAGTTTCGAACTGTTGATCTTAAGGTTAGCAGCCCGACTTATAATGACTATGTTACCAGAGTGCCTTATATTTCTATATGGATAGATAATTTTTCATTTATGTTTGCTTACTCTTCATAGAGTTCTATTTTTATCTCATTTTCTCATTCTTTTAAATTATGGTTGTTGTTGTTAAGTGCCATCGAGTTGGTTCCGACCCATAGTGACTCTGTACAGGGTTTCCGAGGTTGTAAATCTTTACAGGAGCAGAAAGCCTCATCTTTCTCCTATGGAGCCACTGGTAGTATTGAACTGCTGACCTTGAGGTTAGCAGCCCAACTCGTAACCACTATGCTACCAGAGCTCCTTTTTAAATTATGGTAGTTGTAAAAAATATTGGTGTGGCACTACAGGATAATCACTGAGGTTCAAGTCCACCAGCTGCTGTTTGGAAACCCTATATAGGGTCGCTGAGTTGGAACTGACTTCACAGCACTTAGCAACAACAACAACAAAGAATATCACAAACAGAATCAAATAATTTATCTTTTTGTGACATGTATAACAACTTTCCCCAAAGACCATGGTAATCAGCCCTCAATTATTGAAACAAAACGAGAAAAGTTTCAGGAATGACTTAAAAGCATAGGAACTCGCTGATCCCATGACGTTCTACCAAGTAAATTTATCTAAACATGTTAGCAAATTTGGAAATTGTTGAATTAAAACGTTTCTTTACAAACGGATTTCATAGATCCTTCAGTATGTTAAAAACACATTTTGACTTTCTAAGATAGAACAATAATGTATACATCCCAAATTGATTTAACTAGGAAAGCTTTTTTAAAAGAGACGTTCCCTAGGGCTAGTGTTCTTTGGTACTTCTTTGTGAAACATTATTCTTACCATTTCTGTTAAATTTTGCAACAGTATTAACAATTCAGATATCTCTTAACTACACATTAATTTCTTGCTTTGGTACCCTTCTTGGTGTATAGATACTTAATAAAGAAAGTCTCACACTGAAAAGGTAGAATACCAGTTTATGTCATACTGACATTTCAGAAAGTATTTATCACAATCTGTTTTTTCCACTATGTCTTAAAGCTTATACCGCCCATAAATTGTAATGCAATGTGTATGATTTTACTAATGTGGAAAGTTTGTTTGTATTTATAATTTTTGTAAAGTTAATATATTTAAGGATAATGTCCTTGCCAATTCAAATAAAATTGAGTATTGTACTGTCTTTTTAATTTGTTTTTGATCATTTGTTGTGTTAATTAGAAATTTTCTGAAAATTGAAAAAACAATATCTTTGATATAGGTCATTAATATATATCTTAGAACTTTGTATCATAGAAATGTGTGTAATTTATATATTATATGGAGTCCTAGTGTGGTGCTACAGTATAATGCACTGGACAACAAGATCAGTTTGAACCGCAAAGTCGGTAGTTCAAACCCACCAGCCACTCCTCAGAAACCCTATACAGGGTTGCTATAGGTCGGAACCAATTCGACAGTACTTCACAACAACAATATATATTAATACATATATAATACATCTATATATAGGAGCATGGTGACTCTATATTATAAGCACTGGATTGTGAATCACAAGGTCAGCAGTTTGAGCCCCCAAGTCACTCCGCAAGAGAAAGATGAACCTTTTCTGTTCGCACAAAGACTTAAAAAGCCTCAGAAACTATACGAGGTCGCTATCAACTCAACAGCACTTAGTCTGCCTGGTCTTTTACAGAAATAACGTCAAGTATAATAAAACGCATAAAATTTAGAGTACGTTATGATAGCTTTTTCTAATTTCTCTTTGTATTTGATCCCAGTCTAGGTAAAGCAGTGGTAATTTACAGGTCTTTGCCCTGTCCCACACCCTCCCTAAAGCTTTTTCTTCTTTCTCTTTAGTTCAGGGTTAGGCCATGTAGGCACACTAGGTGGCAGTGTACTCAACTAATTGCAGCTAGTATATGAAATCAGCTATTTCAAAGGACATCCTAGAGTACCTGACTTGACAGCAGTTAACAACAACAAAAGAGTACCTAGTTTCTTTAATTACTTTGGTTCCCAGGACCAACCAGAAGGAGTAATTACTTTAATTAATTGATGAATTGTCAAATACACTATATTCTGTGAGTAAAACTGAAGAATAATCAAGGTTAGAAGGCATTATCTACCACAGTCTCTTAAATGCTATACATTATTTAATTTAATGTAAAAGAAGAGTACTTCTTATACTTTTTTAAAATTATCATTATTATTGGTTAGACTTTATTTAATCCTTCTGATAAAGCCCTTTACATGTGTTATCACAATATGAAATTACTTAGAGGTTAAGTAGTTTCCTTAAGGTTACCCAGTTAAAAAGTATCAAAACTATAATCTAAATCTTTGAATCAGGATATTTTTTTATGCATCAGTGCTCTAAAGTCAATGCAGATAAAAAAAACAAACAAAAAACCTAAGGATTCTTTCTTTCAGGTGCTGTGTTAGCTTTCATGTTGGGATTGTTTCATATGTCCCTGGATGAATGTGAAGAGCTTTATCGAAAATTAGGATCAGACGTGTTTTCCCAAAATGTTATTGTTGGGACAGTCAAAATGAGTTGGAGCCATGCATTTTATGACAGCCAAATATGGGAAAAGATTCTTAAGTAAGTTATGACTATTCTTTTTACAAATTTTCTCATTATGTAAATAATACATGCAACATTTGAAAACTACAGAAAAAATAATAGAGACTATTAAATTATCAATCCCATTAATTGAGGATAACTAATGTTATATTTTGATAAATTGTATTCTAGTCATTTTTTTCTTGGATTCTGTTTACTCACGTTCATGAGATTTACATGTGAAAGTTCCAGTAGACTTTTTGAAAATATGAGACCAAATTTTGCATAGACCATATTTTTATTCTGTGGTTTTTACTAACATATTCCACCAGTCATCTGTCAGTTTGTCGCATTGTGGTGACTTGGGTGTTGCTGTGATTCTGGAAGCTATACCACTGGTATTTTGAATGCCAGCAGTGTCACCCAATGGTAGACAAGGTTCTGAGCTTCCAGATTAAGACAGACTGTAAAGAAGGAGAGATGGACTACTTCCAAATGTTTAGCCTCCTCAGAGTAGAGTTGACTGTGACGATGTGAATAGAGTAAAGCCTTCAGGGACCTTCATTTGCCTGTAGGACACAACTCAAATAAGAAGAAACAGCAGCGAACCCATTAATAATTGTAACATGGAACATATGAAATAGGAGTCTAGAAAAAGTGAAAGTTGTCAAAAATGAATTGGAACACATAAACATTGATATTCTAGGCATTATTGAGCTGAAACTGGTCTTGGCCATTTTGAATTTGAAAATCATGTGGTTTAGTATGCCAGAAATAATAGCAAATTGAAGAGGAATGGCGTTGCATTCATCATCAAAAAGAACATTTCAAGATCTATCGTGAAATATAATGCTGGCTTTGATAGGATAATATCCATCCGCCTCAAGGAAGACTAATTAATATAATTGTTACTCAAGTTTGTGCCCCAACCACTAAAGCCACTGAGGATGAAACTGAAGAATTCTACCAACTTCTTCAGTGTGAAATTGATCAAAATTACAATCAAGATGTACTGATTATTACATTTTAATTTGATTGGAATGCAAAGGTTCGAATTTTGCAAGATCAATGACTTCTTCATTACAAATATTATTTTCAAACATAAAAGACAATTATATACATGGACCTCACCAGATGGAATACAAAGTAATAAAATTAACTACATCTGTGGAAAGAGACAGTGGAAAAGCTCCGTATCATCAACCAAAACAATGCCAGGGAAAGACTGTGATACAGACCATCAATTGTACATATGCAAATTCAGGCTGAAGCTGAAGAAAATTAAAACAAGTCCACAAGTGCCAAAATATGACCTTGAACCTTTTGTCGTTGTTGTTGGTTCTGACTCATAACGACGCTGTGTAGGGTTTCCTAGGAGCAGCTGGTGAGGCTCAACCGCCGACCTTGCCGTTCACACCGACTTTGCAGTCTAGCCCATTAATCCACAGCACCACACCAGGACTTCTGATTTTACTTTAACACATTTTAAATGACCGTACTATTCCACTGTGATAGTACCAAGTTTCTTAATTATTTCCCTTTGGGATATTTGTGGTCATTTACGACATTTATGTTGTCCCTAAAGTTTTATGATTATGAACAGTGCTATAATAGAAAACAGCTAAATAATGAGCACAGAACTCCCATTCCAAAGCACTCACTACTTAACTGGCCTCGAGAATGCATTGCAATGACCACACAGATCCCAGACATTATACTCCCAGTTAAGGGGTCTGTTAGAGAAGTTGACAGGGTATATAATTCAGGGTCAGCAATGCTCAGGATACAGTTGTTTTCAGTCCTGCCAATGTCTCCACAGTCCATCCGTGTCCACAGTCCGTACTCTCTCTGCCCTGCCAATGCTACAAAGTTCTTTTGTGAGTGTGTGTTGTCCAGTCAGTTCCAACTCATAATAACCCTGTATGGAGTTCCTGAGGGGTGGCTGGTCAATTTGCACTCCAGTGCTTATCCTACAGCACCACACCAGGACTCTTTTAGGGCTGCTGATAAACCCACAGGGCACAGCACTCCACCTCACGCATCAGTCTAGCTCCATGGGTCAACAATGCTAGCTCCCCCAGTATCATGCCTAGGGGCACTCTCCTCTGCGAGCAAGCCTCCTGCCCCAAATCACTCACCGTTCTTTTCTCTGTGGACTCTGCCTCGAGCTCTGGCTCTTGGTTCTGCTCCTGCAGCTCCTCTACCACTCCTCTGGTGTTACAGCTTCCTGTCCCTGGGTGGAAGAAGTTAAGTGTACAGGTCCAAAGGACATGATTCACTCCTGGCTCCTCTTTGATGATAATGAAATCCCCTCATTCCTGCTTCCGAGATGGCTCATTTTATACCCATGCTAGAGTTTCAAGTTTTAAAATGACCACTAACTGTTAACATCCACAGCTGAATTATACCATCCTGTTTGTATCCTCTTCCATCTTCCCTTACCCAAACCCTCCCTGGAAAGAGTTGTTTGGTGGGAGTTACAATGAGTAAGACTAAAAGAGACATGGGAAGTTGTTCACTACACCACGAAACTATGCATTGAAATTTCTACCAACAGTTCAGAATTTATCCATTTATTTACAAGAAGCCTAATGATTAGTTCAAATATTGCTGTGTCTAAAATAATCCTTATATGGAAAACAGAATACATAATGGGAACAACAAAAATTGCTTATTATTTCACTAGACATAAAAGAACTATTAACTTGATGATGCAGTTCTTCGTAGAATTTGCTATAGGTAAAAATAAGTGTGTATGTTTGGTGGGGTGGGGGATAGTTTGGGTATTAATCTCTTTTACAATATTGGCATGATAATATGCATGTAGTGTTATATCTTGCTTGGTAAAGGGGAGAATTGGAGAAAAAGAGGAAGACCCCCAGTGAGATGGATTGGCACAGTGGCAGCAGCAATGGGCTCAAAAATAGCAGTAATTGTAAGATTGGCACAGGACTGGGCAGTGTTTCGTTCTGGTGTGCATAAAGTCACTATGAGTTGGTACTGACTCAGTGACTTTTTTTATAGCTTGCATTTTCACTTAGCATTTTATTATAAAGGATTTCTATTTCATCAAGTAGTTCATCGAAACACGTTTAAATGGTTGCATGTTGTTAAGTGCCGTCGAGTCGGTTCTGACCCATAGCGACCCTGTACAGGGTTTCCGAGGCTGTAAATCTTTACAGGAGCAGAATGCCTCATCTTTCACCCGTGGAGCAGCTGGTAGTTTCGAACTGCTGGAAGGTTCGCAGCCTGATTCGTAACCACTACGCTACCAGAGCTCCTTATAGTATTCCATTTTATAGATATTCTTTTTTTTACTTAACAAATTCCCTATTAGAAAGTGAACTACTTCGGATAACTTCATAAAATGAAGTTTAGACGAACATCCTAAGTACTTAAATCTCTGCTTACATCTTTAGAGTAAGTTTCTAGAAGTGAGATTTTGGGGTTTGTTGTTCTTGTTGTTAAGTGCCGTCGAGTCGGTTCCAACCCATAGTGACCCTACACAGGGTTTCCGAGGCTATAAATCTTTACGGGAGCAGAAAGCCTCATCTTTCTCCTGCAGAGCAGCTGGTAGTTTCGAACTGCAGACCTTAAGGTTCGCAGCCCAATTCGTAACCAGTACGCTACCAGAGCATACATTTCTAGAAGTGAGATTTTGGGGTTAGAAGATATAAATAATTTAAGAATTGCATATAACTGAATTGTACATCTTAACAGTTGTCCCAACTTTCCCAACAGCATCAATTGATTTTTCCATTCCATGAAATACTCATAGTATCGAACATTTTAACTTTTAAAAGTATATTTTGAAGAAATTTTGAAGCTGTGTTTCAATTTGTGCCACTTTGAGGATTTAAAAATGTTTTTTGATTATTTGATTTTTTAAGTAAATATCAAGAGCTTAATTACTGCTTATTTTTCTATAGTAGCATTCTTCACTGTGTTTTAAATACATTGACCATTTATTTTGTGTTGAAACCACCACATGTCCCAATTTGTCATTCGGTGGTGGCCTGTGTGTTGCTGTGATGCTGGGTCACCCATGGGGAGACATGTTTCAGTGACACATTCAGACTAAGATAGACTAAGACTTAGAAGGACAGGTGGACCATTTCAGAGGAGTTAGCCACTGAAAAACTTATGAATAGCACCATCGTCAGACATAGAGCTAAAAGATGAGCCCCTTATGTTGGAGGGCACTCAAAATATGACTGGTAAGATCTGCCTCCTCAAAGTAGAATTGACTTAATGACATGAATGGAATCGAGCTTTAAGAACTTCATTTGTTCTTTGGGCACAACTCAGAATGAGAAGAAACACCTGCAAACGTTAATAATTGGAGCATGTAATATACAAAGTATGAATCTAGAAAAATTGGAAGTCATAAAAAAAATGAAATGGAATGCATAAATATCCATATCCTAGACATTAGTGAGGTGAAATGGACTAGTATTGGTCATTTTGAATCCGTAAATCATGCAATTTACTATGCTTGGAACAACCATTTGAAAAGGAATGGTGTTGCATTCATTGTCAAAAAGAACATCTTAAGATCTATTTTGAAGTGCAGTGCTGTGTATGATAGGATAATGTCCATATCCTACATGAAAGATTGGATTTCTGGTGTGATGCACTGGACTTCGAACCGCAAGGTCAGCAGTTCAAACCCATCAGCTGCTTCTCGGAAACCCTATACAGGGTCACTATGAGTTGGAACTCAATCGAGGGCACAACAACAAGGAAGGCCAGTTTATACCACTGGCCTTTACGCACCAAGCAGAAAAGCCAGTGATGATGAAATTGAAGAATTCTACCAACTTAGTTGGTCTGAAATTGATTGAACATGGAATCAAAATGCTTTGATAATTACTGGTGATTGAGATGGGAAAGTTGGAACCATAGAGGAACCATCAGTAGTTGGAAAATATGGCCTTGTTGAAAGAAATGATGCTGAAGATTGCATGATAGATTTTGCAAGGCCAATGACTTGTTCATAGAAAATACGTTTTGTAAACAACATAAAAGATGTCTATACATGTGGACCTCACCAAATGGAATACACAGGAATCAAATTGACAATATCAGTGGGAAGTAATGATGGAAAAGCTCAATATCATCAGCCAAAACCAGTTCAGAAGATGACTATAGAGCAGACCACCAATTGTTCATAGACAAGTTCCGACTGAAGTTGAAGAAAATTAGAACAATTCCATAAGAGCCAAAATATAACCTTGAATATATCCCACCTGAATTTAGAGACCATCTCAAGAATAGCAACATATATTAGAAAATATGCTTTTGAAATTTTTTTAAATATATAAAGAGAAATTTAAACTCTTCAGTTAGTTAGATCTTTTCCTTTAATGATTTTTAACTTTTCTTTTATATTTAGATAGTCTTTTCCATCCTGAAATCAGGTAATTGTTTATCTATTAGCTTCTAGTTTTATTAAATGTATATTTAATTCTTAAGTCTCTCTGAAAGTTATATATATATATATTATAAGAATATAAAGCTTCATTTATTTTTAGCAAATACTTAATTCAAATGTCCCAGCATCGTTTACCAAGTACTTTTTCTTTTTCACTTATTCAAACCTCCATCTTTATCATATATTAAAGTCTTATTACCTACATTAGGGGGAGTCCTGGCGTGACACTGCGGGTTAATGTGCTAGACTGCAAAGTCAGTTTGAACCGCAAGGTCAGTGGTTCAAACTCACCGACCGCTCCTTGGAAATCCTGTACAGACTCGCTATGGGTTGGAACTGACTCCGTGGCATTTAACAACAATGTCTATGTTGTTAAGTGCCTTCGAGTCAATTCCAACCCATAGTGACCCTGTATAGGGTTTACGGGGAGCAGCTGGTGAGCTTGAACCACCAACCTTGCAGTTCATATGGTTTTGCAGTGTGGCGCATTAACCCACAGCACCACCCCAGGACTCCCAACAACGTACATATTAGGGTCCATTTCCAGTGTTTTGCTTTTCTTTATTGGTTTATTTTTATATCAGTTTAGTGATTAAACCTTTGCATAATTTTTTTTATTGGTATAGGAAATCTTTTAAAATTGTTTTTGTTGTTAGCTGCTATCTAGTCGGTCCCAGTCCATAAAGACCCTATGAAACAGTGCCTGGTCCTGCGCTTGCCTCACAGTCATTGCCATGTTTGACCTTATTGCTGCTGCCACTGGGCCAGTCCACCTTGTTTGGGGGTCTTCCTGTTTTCCCCCGATCCTCCACTTTACCAAACATAGTATTCTTTGCCAGGGACTGGTCTGTCATGATAATATGTCTGAAGTATGAGAGACGAAGTCTGGCCATTGTGGCTTTCAAGGAGCATTCTGATTGTACTTCCAACACAGATTTGTTATTTTGGCTGTCCATGCATGGTACTTTTAATATTCTGCTTCAACACACTCAAATGCAGTAATTCTTTTATGGGCTTCCTTATTCACTGTCCAACTTGCACATGCATATGAGCTTATTGACTTGGGTCAGGTACACCTTAGCCCTCAAAACTTGACATCTTGGCTCTTGAACACTTCAAAGAGGTCTTGTGCAGCAGATTTGCCCAATGTAATACATCGTTTGATTTCTTGATTGTTGCTTCCATGAGTGTTGATGGGATATGTTCAAGGTCAGTTGTGTTAGCCATCATTATTTCATCTTCAAAATGAGTCTTAGGCTAATTTTGTTATATAAAAGTTCTCTGATTTTTTATTAAAATTAAATTCAGTATGTCAGTTATTTTGTGGAATATTGACATCGTTACAGTTTTGAAATATTTTCATCCATTAGTATTGTATGTGGTTTCTTTTCTGGTCTTCTTTTGTGCCTATTAGGAAAAAAACCATCAATCTCATGAGGCCATAAAATTATAATACTATGTAAGATTATTTAACGAAGGATTGAAATTAGACTGTGGAACAAGCTTCTGCTATGAATTGCTTTCTTTTCTTTAGTTACTCAGTAGAGTACCTTCATGTATTTGCATTTTACTGTTTCAGTTTTGCTCTTTTAAGGCATTGGTGTTTTTAATCACGGTGTGATAAATTCATAAGTGTGATTCTTTGTTTTTACTTACTCTATTTTTTATTCAGTCGCTACTACTAAACAAAGCACTCAAGAACTTCGTAACTCAAAATGATGAAGGTTTATTATCATGAGTTTGTGGATTGATTGATTCAGACTTCTGTGGTTTTTGCCTGAGTTTACTCCACAGACTATTCTCAGAATACGGCTCAGCTCAGGAATGACTGGGACAGCTGGTCTCTCTCGGAGTGATTGCTCTTGGGCGTCATCTTACCATGGTGTTCTGGATTTCAAGAGGTCACGCTTTAGTGCACCAGTACTTGTGAAACCTCAGTTAATGGCATATTTACTGATGTCCCATTGACCAAAGCTATTCACGTGACCAAACCCTGTTTTTGTGGGAAGTGACTGTATTCAAGAGTATGAGAAGCAGGGAGCATTATTCAATTGGGAATATCATCCATTATTACAATATATCGCATCTGCACTTTACTTTATTGTTGTTGTTTTTGTTACAGGGTTTTGTGGGTGTGTTTTTTTCCTCCCAGTATTTATTGACAGTACTTTTATGTTTCTTTTTGTGATAATGATCTTGTGTTATTTTAGGGACATCAGTTTTAGTTATAGCATTAGTAGAATTCAGCAATGTTGAGGATATTTACCATACTTTGACATCTTGTTAAAATAAGCAATTAATGTTCCTAATTTTCTCTTTTAATTTATAGTCATAACATAATTCACTAAATAGCATCTCAGCTTTTTGATAAAATCACTATTTAACAACAACAAAAAAAGAACTTGGCTTAACACTTAAAACATGTGAAAGCTCCCAGATTCTCTATCCCAATTTTACAGTAAGAGTCCTATGGAAATAATATGAAAGAAGATAATATAATATTCATTTTAGAAGAATGAAATTGCATTGATCTTCATGCAGGAGAAACAAAGTTCAGTAAAGACAAGGATCTTGTCTATTTTTAACTTTTATCTTTTTTTATATTGTTACAAAATTAGAAATTTCATAAAACAAAAAAATTAAATTGTGAACTTATCATTTGTCAGCATATCCTCCATCTAGTTCTATCTACTTTTTTAAAGTTTTTATTGTGATTTGAGTGAAAGATTGCAGGTCAGATTATCAGTTTTGCATTCAACAAATCATACAACTTTGTTTCATTACAGTGCTTATAACCTCCTCCATGTACCGTTAGTTAACAGTGTTTTTCTCTACTCATTTTAGCTCTTCCTTCCTTTCTTCCTTTCTTTCTTTTTTTAAGCATGCAGGCATATATAATAATGTACATCTGCCTCCTGGCCACCAGCTCTCAGTCCTCTCTTTCCGCGAATCAAGAGCCCTCAGCTGCTCCCTGTCTCCTTGCCCCCATCTCTGCCTCAATCTCTGCTTTCGCTTCTTCTCTGGATAAGGTCCTGCATTCCACTTGTGCTCTTCTCCCTTGATGGTCCTAGGGTCCTCTCTTTCTGGATTATCTTGATCTTTACAAAAATTTATAAAGAGTAGATCCCCAACCAATGTGTAAATACTAGCACTGGACTGAAAGGTTACTGATTCATACTCACCAGTCACTCATCAGAAACACTAATCAGGCTCACTATAAGTTGAAACTTAACAACAGCAACAACCTTTGTGTGAAATTCATTAATGTTTTAGTTGAGAAGCCTAAGCATTATTCAAAAACAGTCATTTCTCATTAAGGCAGGTTGGTAAAATTATAACCTGTATGTTCAATCAAGGCAGAAAACTACGTAATTTTTTAAATCTGTAAATATCTGTTAAAACAAGATTTCCTTTTAAAGGAATTGTGAAAACTTCTGCCAATGACAGTTTTTTTAATGTCATCTCAGATGATTTAAAAAGCAGTTATTTGGTGAAATTGCTTGGAATTATTAATTAAAAGAAGTTTAAATGTCCTGACCTGGTTGTTGTTGTTGTTAGGTGCCATAGAGTCAGTACCCACCCATAGCGACCTTATTATGCACAGCAGAACAAAACACTGCTCGATCCTGGGCCAACCTCACTACTGTTGCCACGCTTGAGTCCATTGATGATGCCACTTGGCCAATCCATCTCGTTGGGGTCTTCCTCTTTTTCTATGACCCTCTACCTTACCAAACATGTTATCCTTCTCCAGCGACTGGTCCCTTCTCACAATATGTCCAAAGTATGAGAGACGAAGTTTGGCCATCTTGGCCTCCCAGGAGCACTCTGGCTGCACTTGTTCCTGGTGGTTAGGTAGCTCTTTAACTAGTCCTCCCATACTGCATATGTAGACTTAACTCTTATAGTAATACTAGTAGTTGTGTGCCACTGAGTTGGTTCCGACTCATAGCCACCCTTTATAGGGTTTCTGAGGCTGTAAATTTTTATGGGAGCAGAAAGAATCATCTTTCTCCTGCGGATTGGCTGGCATATTTGAACTACTGACCTTGCAGCTAGCAGCCCAGCTCATAATCCACTATGCTACGTGGGCTCCTTAACTCTGTCATCAGGGTCCTGGAAACAGCAGGTTTGTTATTCCTCACTGTCTTTAATCCTGTGTGTGTCTTAATTGTTTGGATGTGTTGCCTTGGCACCCTTTGGGGTCCTTTTGAAGCTACGTCTTTACACATCTTCCCCAGTTACTACAGGCTGCCTAGCTTCCTCCATCGCAAAACTATAGAGGCTTATGCTTTGAATCAGAAATTAGTAAATAGCTAAATATTGTTTCATGTGCTTTAACTGGATTATAAGCTTCCTAGAGGAGATTCTTAGTTTTTTTGTTTTGATTTGTTTTGCTTTTATTCCTAGTAGCTCCTTGACACAGTCATGGGCAAACAGTATTTTTATAGTGTACATTCCCTGATTGTTAGGATATAAAATAATTTTATTTATTTCATCTTCTTTAATAAAGGGATAGGATGGGATCCTCACTTATGATTGAAACAGCAAGAAACCCCACATGTCCCAAGGTAAGTTTAGAATCTTTTAACTATAATGCCTAGTGAGAACTGAACTTATTCAGAAGGCCTTTTGTGAAAATGGTGTGGGGGTGACTTCACAAATGGGAAGGAGAATCAAATTCAGCCCAATGCCAATTCCTAGTCTAGGTTTTCTTTGCCTAAAGTGTTCTGTTTATCATACCCTTCTGCTTTTCTGGTTTCCTTAGTCTCTTAATTCTGTTTGACTCCTGTTTCATAGCCTTGACATTGTGCACTATGTCACTGAGCTCATAAAGCAGGAGTATTCTGAGAACATTTGGATTGTTGTGGGAACTTAGGAGAAAAGCTTTCCTCTAGAGTACATTTACTGCACTATTTGCATATTTACTGCTGGTGTATTCAAACCACGAACCTTGTGGTTTTCAGTCTGGTGCTTACACACCTGTATATTCATTTTTTTCCATTCATTCTATAGATATTAATTATGTGCGCACTGTGCTAACCACTTTGTTTTTTTTTATTGTGTATTGTGTGATAGTCTACATGGGAGAACATTAGTTTTACATTCATTCCATCATACATCGTCTCATTGCCATAGTTACCATCCCGTCCATGCATCATCACCCAACCAAAGGGTATACCCTGCAATCCCACCCACCCTCCCCTCAAGGTCCTCAGCACACAGCCTCACTCCCTCTCTGGATCCCTAGTCTCCAGCCACTCCATCTCTTCACGTCATCCTCTCTCTTCACATCATCCTCTCTGTCTCAGTCTCAGGCCTCAATGCTCCTCTGGGTGTGGTCCCGCTTTCCACTCTTCTCCATTGATGGTCCCAGGGCCCTCCGCTCCTAGACTGAAAGGTTAATCACTCCCCTCCTTGCTATAAAATGTCTACCTTTACAATTCCAGTCCAGTCCTCACAATCAGTTCTGGTGACAATTATTCACCCTTGGATCCCAAGGGACCCATCTGCATTTCTTATCATCTGCCCTTCCTAGACAGATCAGATACTACTCACTGGAGACTCTACCATCCTCCCCGCCCTGTGGATCTAAGTTCCCTCTTGAAAGCTTGTAAGCCAGTCACTTCTTGCCTTTGTATCCCTTCTCCCATTTTTGGTTAGTCAGTGTTCAAGTTGTCCATCTCTATCTACTCTTTGTTGTGCTAACCACTTTGAATGCATCAGTGAATCTACATAACTCAGTAGGGTAACATAGGTGTTAAAAAGCACATAGGGATTATATAGTTCGTCTCTCCTTCCTATTCTGTCTTCGTCTGTAAGCTCACCTGAAACCTGTCCACGGTGGGTGACCCTGCTGGTATTTAAAATACCCATAGCATATGATCAAGAACCAAGGATACTGAAGGAGAAAGTCTAAGGTGCATTGAAGGAATTGGCGAAGAACAAGGTACCAGGAATTGATGGAATAAAAACTGAAATCTTTCAATAAAGTGAGCCAGCAATGGAGGCACTCACTCATCTATGCCAAGAAATTTGGCCAACTGATTGGAAAAGATCGGTATTCGTGCCCATTCCAAAGAGACATGACTCAACAGAATGCGGATATCATTGGACAATATCTTTGATATACCAAGCGAGTAAAGTTTTACTAAAGGTAATACAGAAACAGCTACAATCATACATTGACAGAGAGCTTCCAGAGGCTCAAGCTGGTTTCAGAAGAGGCCGTGGAACAAAGGATATCATTGTTGATGTCCAGTGGATCTTGGCTGAAAGCAGAGAATACACAGAAAGATGTTTACCTGTGATTTATTGACTATACAAATGCTTTCTCGATTGTGTGGAACACGGCATGCTATGGACAATATTGTGAAGTATGAGTATTTCTGAACACTTAATTCTGCTCATGAGAAATATGTACATGGACCAAGAGGCAGTTGTTTGAACAGAACATGAAACACTGAATGGTTTAAAATTAAGAAAGGTGTGCAACAGGGTTGTATTCTTTCACCATACTTATTCAACGTGTATGCTGAACAAATAATCTGAAGAAAAGCATGGCATCAGGATTGGAGGAAGACTCATTAACAACCTTCAATATGCAGATTTTACAACCTTGCTTGCTGAAAGTGAAGAGGACTTAAAATACTGATGAAGAACCAAGAGCACAGCCTTCAGTTTGGATTACATCTCAATGTAAAGAAAACAAAAATCCTCATCACTGGACCAGTAAAAACAACATTCTTATCAATGGAGAAAAGATTGAAATTGGCAAAGACTTCATTCTTCTTGAATCAATTATCAACATTCATGGAAGCAGCAGCAGCAGTCAAGAAGTCAAATGACGTATTACATTAGACAAATCTGCTGCACAAGACCTTTTTAAAGTGTTGAAGAGCAAAGGTGTCAGCTTGAGGACTAAGGTGCGCCTGACCCAAGTCATGGTATTTTCAATAACCTCGTATGCATGCGAAAGTTGGACAATGAATAAGGAAGACCATAGAATAATTGATGCTTTTGAGTTATGGTGTTGGAGGAGAATATTGAAAGTGCCATGGGCTGCCAAAAGAACCAACAGATCTATGTTGTAAGAAGTGCAGCCAGAGTGATCCTTGGAGGCCAGGATGGCCAAATTTCATCTCTCATACTTCAGACATATTGTCAGGAAGGACCAGTTGCTAGAGAAGGATATCATGTTTGGTAAGGTGGAGGGTCAGAACTAAAGAGGAAGATCTTCAATGAGCTGGATTGGCAAAGTGGCAGCATCAGTGGGCTCAAGCATGGCAACAATTGTCAGGCTGGCCCAGTATCGGGCAGTGTTTCAATCTGTTGTTCATAAAGTTGCTATGAGTCAGTATCGACTCAGTGGCACCTAACAACAACAACAGCATGCATGCGAAAGCTGGACAGTGAGTAAGGAAGACTGTAGAATTGATGCTTTGGGGTTATGGTGTTGGAGGAGAATATTGAAAGTGCCATAGGCTGCCAAAAGAATAAACAGATGTGTGTTGGAAGAAGTGTAGCCAGAGTGCTCCTTGGAGGCCAAGATGGCCAAACTTCGTCTCTCATACTTTGGACATATTGTCATGAGGGACTGGTTGCTGGAGAAAGATATCATGTTTGGTAAGGTGGAGGGTCAGAAATAAAGAGGAAGACTTTCAATGAGCTGGATTGGCAAAGTGGCAGCATCAGTGGGCTCAAGTGTGGCAACAATTGTGAGGTTGGCTCAGGACCGGTCAGTGTTTCATTCTGTTGTGTGTAGGGTCACTATGAGTTGGTACTGACTCTATTGCACCTACATCACATGGATTATCCAACAACATGGATTATGTGTTGTGGAACACATAATTCTCTGAAAGCATATGCTTAAAGAGACATGAAAGAAGACTAACCAAGAAGTGAGATTTAAGATCTAAGAGTGGAGGCTAATGAGTTCCTGGCAAAGATGCCCTCTGTAGGAGGAATCATCGAGAATCCTGGACACTGAGGGAAGACCACCAAGACTAACTGAGGGCAGCATGAAATGAGACTTGGAGAGGTAAACAAACCAGACCATACAGGAGCTGTTGAGATGCAAGTAAGTGCTTTTGGGAAAAACACTAGAGGCATAATATACCTCTTGCTTGGTCTTCTATATTTCCAAGGCTGCTTCTTTGTTTATTTGTTTTTGTTTTTTAATTGAGGTAGTTGCCAACTATTAATAACAGACTAGAGTGGTTGTGGGGGAACTTTAAGCCCCTTCAAAAAATAATTTACTCATGGTAAGTGGAATTACCCTTTGTAATCCAACCTTATCTATAAATCACAGTAATAGAAGGCTCTCTAGAGTTTAGTGGCTGGCCAACTCTTACCCACATAGCCTAGAGGCACAGTTGGGTCTTTCAAATGGCCTTTGAAAACAGCAAAGCAAACTACGTCCCTGGCAGGACTTGACGTAGGACATGCACAACTTTGACCCCATCACATACCTTTCAGCCTTTTTATTTTTATATTGGAAATGTTAACATAGATAGCACATTTTACATAAATTCAACTGATATCAATAGAGTCTGAGACCAAAGGGGATTGGCATTATAATTTTTTTTTTTTTGAACAAAATTATCCAGCTACTAACTTTTATTATCTATGGTGTGGCACTGTAGGAGAAACATTGGAACGCAAGGTCAATTTGAACCACAAGGTCAGTGGTTCACACCCACCAGCCACTCCTCGGAAACCCTATACAGGGTATCTATGAGTCAGAACCAAGTCGACGACAGTTAACAACAACAGTATGATCAGAAAAGCCTGAGACTTTTGTATAGTGTTAGGCTGTCAATTTTATGAGTCACGTTGCTTACAAAAAAAACAGAGACAAAGACAAATTTATAAATGATATTATGCAAATAGCACATTTTTTTTGTTGAGTGCCATTGAATTGGTTCCAACTCACAGCAACCCTATATAGGGTTTCCAAAGATTAGCTGGTGGGTTTGACCCACTAACCTTGTGATTAATAGTCCAGAGGTTATCCTACAGCACCACATCAGGACAGTAAATTTTATTCATTCATTGCTACCATTATGTATCAATTATTACATAAAGGCATGGAAATTTATGCCTTCATGAATGTCTGTCTAAATAATCCAATCATGTAGTCAAAATGGTCTTTTTACTTATTACTTTTATCTTACAGTACATTTCTGTTTATTGTCTCAGTCATTGTATCTATTTTCTCATAAAGAAACCCTTGTATTATCTCAATCTTTATACCTATTGAACCAGGTCTGGTTTCCTTTGCTCAATGTTATATTCATGTTATATATCTATGTGTCTGTAAGGTGGTAATGATTATGTGCCGTGGAGTCGGTTCCAAGACAATAAATCTTTACAGGAGCAGAAAGCCTCATCTTTCTCTCGCGGAACAGCTGGTAATTTTGAACTGCTGACCTTAAGCTTCGCAGTCCGATTTGTAACCACTACACTACCAGAGCTTCTTTGTGTCTGTCTGTATGTTGTTGTTGTTAAGTGCCATTGAGTTGGTTCCAACCCATAGCAACCCTGTATAGGGTTTCGAAGGAGATGCTGGTGAGCTGAGCTTGAACCACCAACCTTTCCATTCAAACAGATTTGCAGTCTGGCGCATTAACCCACAGTGCCAAACCACGACTCTGTCTCTATGTATCATTGGGTGGAAATACAGATTGTTCAATTTTACTGTTAAATATAATTTAATTTTTATAGATTCCAATGATTGCTGCTTATGATAAATGGGTACTGTTCACTTTTTAATTCACTAGGTAGCTGCTGTAAGCACTGTCGTAAACAAAGGAATAACGCCGAAAGCATTTGTGTTCAGGAACTATGGTCATTTTCCTGGAATCAACTCTCACTATTTGGGAGGCTGTCAGTATAAACTGTGGCAGGCCATTAGAGCGTCTTCTGCTGCCCCTGGCTACTTTGCAGAGTATGCACTGGGAAATGATCTTCATCATGTAAGTTGTCTGTATGGCTTTTTATCTGTTTGAATTTTACATGATTACAGAACCAACACTTCCTAAATGCCACTGAACTTCAAAGGGATCAATCAAGGTGACCTGAGCTATGCTCTTCATGTCTTCATATGGCAAAGGATAAGCAATTTGTTTATTTGTTTAGGAATTTTTTTGTGTGTGTGTATGTGTGTATTTTATATTTTGTGATTCGTAGACAATTAGGATAACTACTGATAGAAAAATACATTATGTGTGATTGTAGTCCTGGTGTGCTGCTGTAGGATAAGCACTGGACTACTAATCCCAGGTTCCTGCTCCTTGGAAACCTTACACAGGGTCACTATGGCTCAGAAGCGACTCGATGGCACTGAACTACAGTGTGTGATTGACTTTCCAAATGTGATAAAAACTGAAGCTGAAGTGTAGTTGCCAACAGTACAGAGCCCCAGTCTGTTCAACAGGGTATTTTGAAGCAAATGACAGAATCATAATGATTAAACTAGCTATGTATCAGATGCTTACTTAATCCTTTACAAGCATAATAAATTGTGATGATTAAATGAGATTTAAAAATAAGTGGTCATTCTTATGCATAGCCATTTTTACATTGACCAAGAGGAGACCCCCAACCCCCCCCCCCCCCAATGAGGTGGATTGTCACATTTGAGCAGTAGTGGGCTCAAACGTGACAATTGTGAGGGTGGCACAGGACTGGGAAGGGTTTCCTTGTGTTGAGCATTAAGATTACTGTGTGTCAGAACTGACTCGACATCACCTAACACCACCACTGCCACCATCATCTTTCCATTTAGTTTCACCCACAGACTAAAAGAACTTCTTAGATAAATTTTATATAAAGCATATAACTACATAAACAGAATGTACTTTTATGTAGATCAATGACTTGATTGAGTTTTAGTGATTAATAGTTTTAAAAATTATTTTTATTTAAATGACATTTAATTTACTAAGACCAGCCTAATGGGCTCTGGAGCCAAGTAAACCCTCTTTTACTTAATGTATATTCTTTCCTTCTACAACTTGGAGGAATGAATTTTTTTCCCCTCAAAAGACCAATGAATGAGGAACTTCAGAAAGTTCTTGGAAAAATTGAATGAAAAGATAATGAAAATTCTCCACAAAATTTTTGAAGCCCTCTTATATTAATAAGAATATTGTAAGATGTAAATAAAATTGGTTGTTTAAAGGAAGAAAACATTCAAGCAATGTTCCCACATCTCTTTAAGCCTTAGAAAGATGCTACAAAACTTAAAACTAAAAGATGATACTTATTATAACCCTTTCATCCTAAATCCTTATGATAATTATATCCAATTATCCCCAGTCTCATTTTTAAAATATTGCATGGGATGTCTGACATACATATGTTTTAATGTAAGTCACTTCATATCCTTTTTGGAATGAGGTAGAGTATAAATTATAGATTAATATTCTGAGCAATTATTAAAAGTAGTGCTATAATTAGGAGGTAAGAGTAGGTGGATAGTGAGATTTCATTTGCCTTGACTCCAAAGAGAAGAATATTATTGAAGTATTTACTAGGTATACTATATGTCCTAGAAAATTATAAAGTAGTGGAAAAAATCCTTTTGAGTAGCTTTCAGGCTTTTTGGCCTGGCATAGATTATTAAATTTTAAATTGATGAACTGATGCAACCTACTTGGTATCAGAAAAGGCCTTCTTCTCACAGTCTTACTTGCACTTGGGGTTGTGCGTTTTAGGATTCTGGTTTTTGGTGTGTGTATCCTCTGCTGTTGTAGTTTGACTTAGGAATCGTAAGTTTTTACCTACAAAAACCAAGTCTGTTGTCTCCATAGCAAAGATAGGCATAAGGTCTGCCCTGTGTACAGCCATGTTCTCTTTCTGCTCCTGGTACAATTGACTATGTACAGTAAGCACTGGACCTCAAGGTTGATTTGGACTGCAAGGTAGGCAGTTCAGACTCTCCAGTTGCTCCTCAGAAACCCTATATAGGATTGCTATGAGTTAGAACCGAAGGCACTTAACATCAACAATGACAGCAGATCCCAGACAAGGGAGTGAGGCTTCATTTTTCCTAGGACAGCTAATGTCAGGCAATCAGGTGGTGACAAAGGTGAATATCTCTCCTCTGTCCTTCCCCCCATTCTAGTCATGGGCCATTCATAGACCAACTCTCTGCAATCTTCATGTTTCAGAGATAATCATAATTTAGGCACATCTTAGCCACAGAGGAATACTTAAGAGCCCAAGGACTGATGCATGGTGGCCTTATGAATAAATATGTCTCTAGACAGGAGATGTCCTTTTTCTTATCAAAGTTAACAGTGTGAAAGCTTAAGACGTTTGCTTTCAAAGAGATGTAGTTAAAGTATGGTGAAGATTGGCAACTCAGGCAAAAGAAGTGGCTGGGCTGGAAGTGGCAGTAAATTGCCCACACTAAAATGAAGGCTAGAACTGGGAATGAAAAATGTATATCCTAATAATTCTGTACATCCCTGTGATCCCAAGGGTATCTCAAAGCCACTCACTGGTGATGAACAGTATATGCCACATTGATGGGACCATTGTTGTTGTTAAGTACCGTGGAGTTGGTTCCGACTCATAGTGACCCAGCACAGGGTTTCTGAGGCTGTAAATCTTCACGGGAGCAGAAAGCCTCATCTTTCTCCCGTAGAGCAACTGGTAGTTTAGAACTGCCAACCTTGAGGTTAGCAGCCCGATTTGTAACCACTATGCCACCAGAGCTCCTTGAGGCAATTATTTCAATTAGCCTCAGACTATTTCAGAGCTAAAGGAGCAATGAACTTTCTCTGGGGAGTGTGTTTAGTATTTGTATTTGGGGAAATTTTAATCCGATCTGATAGGGAGTCCTGATCTGGTGCTGTAGGTTGATTTGAATCACAAGACCATGGTTCAGACTCACCAGCTGCTCCTTGGAAACCCTATATAGGGCCACTCTGATTCAGAACCAACTTGACAGCGTTTAACAACACTGTAATCTCACCAACCAAATTAGAGTCGTATTTGAGATACATAGTTTTGAGAAATTTCTGTGCTCTGTAGAAAACTCAGCTCTCCAAAATTATTCCTATTTCAAGGAACCAGTTTATCTAATTTTACTGTATTCATCAGTACATGAATAGTTTGAAAAATATTTCATAAGAAAAGATATTTAAGTTCTTATATATATTTGCCTGAAATGTCTGAATTGCTATGATAAAAAATTATCTTGCTTTAAATGATACAAGGGAGGATTCAGAAAGTTTGTGGGAAAATTCTGTTATCTTTTAATTCCAGTTTTCCATGAACTTTTTGAAGCTCCCTTGTATACTGCATTATTGCTTGACTGAAAGTCTTAAGCATAGTGAGAAATTGGTGTTATCACTTGTAAAATCAGCACTTTCAGAATTCTTCAATGTCGAATCTTCCGTGGAAGAGGATTATTCTAGATTGTTTTCTACTATTTCAACTAGATCCTACTGAAATAAATGAATTTTATACCATGCTTAAAACAGTAAGTAGGAGTTAGATTACAGTGTAAGCAAAGGTTCATTCAGAAATTTGTAAATCATTCAGGCTAGAATGTAGGATTAGGAGTTGAACAATTCTGTATAGCTTCCAATACAGAAATCTAGAATTCATAGGTAAACATTACCAGGAAGGAGTTTTGGGCTTATTAGGAAGAATAGCTTGCTAATAATTTATAGATTTTCAAAGTGAAATGGATACCCCAAGATCCAGTGGGATTTATCCTGGGAATGCAAGATTGATTAAATAGTCAAAACACAGTCAATGAAATCCACAATATTAACAGTGAAAGAAGAAAAACATGATCAATAAATACACAAAAGGAGAGAAACTTTTGACAAAATATAGTGTCTTCTCAAATTCTCAACAATAGAAATAGAGGGAACTTCCTTAACCTGTTAAAGGGCATCTACAGAAAACCTAAGGCTAACAATGTACTCCATGATGAAAGACTTCATTGGTAACAAGGTGACAAGATGAGCTTTCACTGCTTCTGATCAACGTGGTCAGTGCATTGGGGGAGGAAATGGAACTTTAAAAGAGCATGTCAAGGGCAGTTTTGATGTATAATGCTGCCCATGATAAGATAATATCCATACATCCACAAGGAAGACCAGTTAATATGACTACTATTCAGATTTATGCACTAGCTACTAGCCAAATGATGAAGAAATTGAAGAATTCTACCAATTGTTTCAGTTTGAAATTGATTATACATGCAGTCAAGATGTATTGATAAGCACTGGTGGTTGGTATGTGAAAGTTGGAAATGAAGAGCAAAGATCAGTAGTTGGAGAATATTGCCTTGGTGATCGAAACTGTGCTGAAGATCCCATAATAGAATTTGACAAGACCAATAACTTATTTATTACAATTACTGTATTTGAACAATGTAAATGATGCCTATGCACATAGACCTCACCAGATGAGTCAAATAGACTACAACTGTGGGAAGACATGATGCCTGGAGAAGCTCAACATCATCAGGCAAAACAAGGCCAACTGTAGTATAGACCATCAGCTGCTCATCTGCAAATTCAAGCTGAAGCTGAAGAAAATTAAAAGCAGTCCACAAGAGCCAAAATATGACCTTTTAAGTGTTGAAGAGCAGAGATATCAGCTTGAGGACTAAGGTGTGCCTGACCCAAGCCATGGTATTTTCAATAACCTCATATGGATACGAAAGCTGGACAGTGAATAAGGAAGATCATAGAAGAATTGATGCCTTTGAGTTGTGGTGTTGGAGGAGAATACTTAAAGTGCCATGGACTGCCAAAAGAACCAATAGATCTGTTTTGGAAGAAGTGCAGCCAGAGTGCTCCTTGGAAGCCAGGATGGCTAAGCTTCGTCTCTCATACTTCCAAGAAACAGTCGCTGGAGAAGGATGTCATGCTGGGTAAGGTGGAGGGTCAGAGAAAAAGAGGAAGACCCCTAACGAGATGGATTGGCCAGGTGGCATCATTGATGGACTCAAGTGTGGCAGCGGTAGTGAGGTTGGCCCAGGATCGGACATTGTTTTGTTCTGCTGTGCATGGGGTCACTATGAGTCGCTTCTGACTCGATGGCACCTGACAACAACAGCAAGTATATCCCACCTGAATTTAGAAATCATCTCAAGAACAGATTTGACACATTAGACACTAATGATCAAACACTAGAGGGATCATGGGATGACAACAAGAAGATCATACAATAAATAGAGCAAAAGGTTATTAAAAAGACAAGAAAGAAAGAAAAGGCTGAAATGGGTGTCAGAAGAGATCCTGAAACTTGCTGTCTAACAAAGAGAAGCTACAGAAATGTTGAAGTAAAAGAAAAAAATTTTTTTCAAAGGACAACTCAAGAAAACAAAGTAAAATATATTGAAATGTGCGAAGTCAGAAAATAAAAGTTGGAAGACCTAAAGAAATAAAATTCAAGCCTCAACTTGAAATGTTAAGAAATTATATGTGCAAATTACCAAATGATGCAGGAAGCACCTAAAAGAATTGGTTGCTGCTAAACCATTTCAAGAGGTAGCATATGATCAAGAACTGATGGTATCGAATGAAGAAGTCCAAACTGTACTGAAGGCTTTGGTGATAAACAATGGTCCAGGAATCCACAGAATAGAAATTGAAATGTTTCAATGAACTAATGCAACACTGAAGGCGCTCACTCAGCTGTGCCAAGAAATTTGTTAGACAACTAACCAGTTAACTGATTAGAAGAGATCCATATTTGTGCTCATTCCTAAGAAAGGTGGTTGAACAGAATGTGGAAATTATCAAACAATATCATTAATATTGCATGTAAGTAAAATTTTGCTGAAGATAACTCAATAACAGTTGCAACAGTACCATATCAGGGAGCTACCAGAAATTCAAGCCAGATGTAAAGAGGACATGGAGTGAGGGATATCACTACTGTTGTATCTTGGCTGAATGCAGAGAATGCCAGAAGTTCACTTGTGCTTTATGCAAAGGAATTCCACTGTTTGGATTATAACAAACTATGGATAACATTGTGAAGAATGGTGTTTCAGAACAATTAATTGTGCTCTCGAAGAACCTGTACATAGACCAAGAAAGGCAGTTGCTCAGACAGAGCAAGGGGGTACTGCATGATTTAAAATCAGGAAAGATGTGCATCACGGTTGTGTCCTGTCACCATATTTATTCAATCTGTATGCTGAGCAAATAATCAGAGAAGCTGAATTGTATGAAGAACATGGCATCAGGATTAGAGAAAGGTTCATTAACGACCTGTAATATGCAAATGACAAAACCCTTGAAGCAATTACTGAAGGTAAAAGACCATAGCCTTCGCTATAGATTGCACCTCAGTGTAAAGAAAACAAAAACCCTTACCAATGAACTAATATCATCATGAAAAATGAAGAAAAGATTGACTTTGTCAAAGACCAAATTTTGCTTAGATCCACAATGAATGATCATGGAAGCAGCAGTGAAGAAATCATAAGATGTATTGCATTGGTCAAATTTGCTGCAAATGACTCTTTAAAGTGTTAAACAGCAAAAATATCACTTTGAGTACTTTGGTATGCCTGACCCAAGCTCTGGTATTTTCAGTCACCTCATATGCGTGTGAAATCTGGACAGTGAATATAGAAGACCAGAGAAGAATCAATACATTTGGATTATGGTGCAGGCAAGGAATATTGAAAGTACATGGACTGTCAGAAGAAGAAACAAATCTGTTACAGAAGTGTGTCTGGATTGCTCCTTAGAAGTTAGCTTGGCGAGACTTCATCGCTCATACTTAGGACATGTTTTCAGGAAGGACATCCCTGGAGAAGGACATCACATGTTTGGTAAAGTGGAGCGTCACCCCAAAAGAGGAAGACCTCCAATAAGATAGATTGTCATAGTGGCAACAATAATGGGCTCAAACGTAACGTTTGTGAAGATAGCGCTGGATGGGGCAATATTTTGTTCTAGTGTGCATGTTGCTGCTAAGTGCCGTCGAGTCGGTTCTCACTCATAGCAACATGTATAGGGTTCCTGTGGAGCAGCTGGTGGGTTTGAACTGCCGTCCTTGCAGTTCAAATTGACCTTGAGGTCGAGTACTTATCGTACGGCACCACACCAGGACTCATAGAATCGCTGTTATTTGGAATTGACTCAATAGAACCTAATAAGGATAACAGACTGTAAAGAAAAAATAAAAACTGTTTCTACTCATACATAAGAATAATGTGTCTTAAGAAGTCTTTCAGTTCATTTTAATAGTTTGGGGCAAAATACACAGAGCAATCCAAGGGGAATCCAAAGCACTATCATGGTAGAAAAGGAAAAACTTACTAAGGAATGCATTCATCATGCCATTAAGTTTCACATGACCTTTATTGCAGCTGTACTATGTAAAATAAGGAGCTCTGGGAGCGTAGTAGTTACTAATTGGACTGCAAACCTCAAGGTCAGCAGTTTGAAACTACAAGCTGCTCCGCGGGAGAAAGATGAGGCTTTCTGCTCCCGTAAAGATTTACAGCCTCAGAAACCCTGTACAGGGTCGCTATGGGTTGGAATCAACTTGATGGCACTTAACAATAACTATATAAAATAAATTCTCTTTAAAGGAGCCTCTTGTTTTTGACTAATTTATTTCTCAACGTGTTACATAATTCAACTTTCACTTTAATTAATTTCAAGGTTTTTTTTAATATAATTTTTGTTTTTGTATTTGTAAGATGTAATTTAACTGTAAGCTTTATTTTTTTAATGTATATTTTGTAGGATGGAGGTTTGCTTATGAATAACCCTTCAGCCTTAGCAATCCATGAGTGTAAATGTCTTTGGCCAGATGTCCCATTAGAGTGCATTGTATCCCTGGGTACTGGACGTTATGAGAGTGATGCGAAAAACACCATGATGCACACAAGCTTGAAAACCAAACTATCTCATGTTATCAACAGCGCTACAGATACTGAAGGTTAGTCTGTCTGTTTGATTCCTTAAAGGACTTCAGCTTGTAGAATTCAGGTTTTGGGAGCATATGCTGATCCTTACTGCTGTGGTATTGTAGAATAAACACTGGACTGATAACCATAAGATTGGTGGTTCAAACCTACCAGACGCTCCTTGGCAACACTGTTTCCAAGTTAATATGCGGCAGAACTGACTTGATGGCGCCTAACAGTAAAAATTTTGAAAGAGTGCATTTTCTTGTATTGTGGATTTATGAAGCACTTCGGAGCATGTCTTTTCTTGTTTTCCTTTCTCCTCACCTATTTCTTGTCAAGTGACACTACTGTTCCCCTTCTGGGAGTCAGTGCTGCCTCTGCCTACTCTAATTCTGTACTTCAAAGTGATAACTTATAAAGAATGTAAATCATACCTTACCAAATAAAATCCCCCCCAAATTAAAAACAACAGGGGAGCCACCTGAGCATCACACTAGTATGACGGAAAGCGTGGGGAGTGGAGAGCACCCTAATGTCGCAGAGGGCTGTGGCGCCTGTCGTGGTGGTGTCAGTTCCACGGAGCATGCCCTTACTCATTACTGGTAATTAGTCTGATTCTAATGAAATAGGCAAGGTTTTGTGATTTGTCCCCCCAAAAGATAAATTTACACAAAGCTAAATTAATGTATCACTGAGAATAATTTCATTTTCTCATCCACCTCATTCCCTCTTTTTGTGCGTTTGTATGTATGTGTTAACAGAAGTCCACATAATGCTTGATGGTCTATTACCTCCTGACACCTACTTTAGATTCAATCCTGTCATGTGTGAAAACATACCTCTAGATGAAAGTCGCAACGAAAAGTTGGATCAGCTGCAGGTGGAAGGATTGAAGTACATAGAAAGAAATGAAGAGAAAATGAAAAAAGCTGCAAAAATATTAAGTCGAGAAAAAACAACTCTACAGAAAATTAATGACTGGGTAAAACTAAAATCTGACATGTATGAAGGTCTTCCATTCTTTTCAAAATTGTGACATGTATATGCATGTGTTCTCATAAATGGAAGCTTGCCCAGGAGATCAGTAGATATTGTGGGAATCGGCACAAGTTAGCTTGGAAATAACTCATGGATTATGCGGACTCCTAGAAAAAGATGATGTTTGGGCCAGCTTCTTCCACATTACAGAGGGTAATGCCGGGTTACAGAGTTCTTAAGGGAATTAGATTTTTATGATCTAAATAGTTACCTAAGCTTTAGGAATATTGCTGTGTTGTACTTGTTGGTTTTAGTAGATATTGGTGTTACTTTGCTAATGTTTGAAAATGTATTAATATATGTGCCAAACAACAAACTAAAAACGGTTATATTTTACCATAATCATGTTAGATTTATTTGATCATCGTTTGTTTTCTTTTAGGTGGAAAAGTTACTATCTTCTTAAATGTATATTACTTAGGTTTTTCGCTAGCTATATTCTGTAATTTACATGCTGCCTTTTATTGTCAGATCACCTAAAAAGATGCAGAAAAATAGACTTTTCTGTATCAAAGCAATTTTGCTCTTCAACTATGAAAGCATCAGATACAATTTACTATTCAAATTTTGCTTATTTCAATACTATTTGGTTAAAAAGAATAATAGGTGAAATTCCAGTCAGCTACGTTTTCTCCTGAAATTTCCGGATGATGCTGCATGTTAACTTTTCTAGATTCAGCTCTTAACTTATCATTCACTGTGGTAAAATTATTTGAATTTACTGAGAAAGTCTTCATAGTATTAACAGAAATAAAATATTAAAACAATCTTTTGTGAGAGGCTAGTGTCTTTTCTATTATTATTTGTTGTTCTTAATGTAAACACCTCATTTCTTTAGCGTTGGTATACCCCCATTGGCAGGGTGCATGGTGGCTCCATAGGATAAGCACTGGACTGCGAACCACAAGGTTAGTGGTTCGAGGCCACTAGCCGCTCTTGGGGAGAAAGGTGAGGCTTTCTGCTCCTGCAAAGATTTAAAGCCTTGGAAACCATATCCAGTGTTGCTATGAATTGGAACTGAATCCACAGCACTTAACAACACTTGTCAGTTTAAAAAAAAAAAAAAAAATGGTAGGGTTTATTTTACTTTATCAACATCTTTAATCTTCTGCATTTCATAGTGGGTGGTTAGAAATACACGTACTCACATTGTTATTCATACCTACCAAATTTATCTTTGTTTTGTTGTTTCTCTATCTGTCATGTAAATCCTTATATCATGCTTGATATAATAAAAATGAAAAACAAAGCCAGAGTGCCCTATTCTTGATGATTCCGTATATAAACTATAAACCCTGTTGCCCGAATGGTGATAATACTCCTTTGCGATGTTGATCCTGAGACACAGTGGAGGGACGAGGGTTCAGAGTGGGCTGGAAGGAGGTGAGCATCTTCATCCTCAACGTGGCTCTGTGACCAAGTCCTTATGTCTGTGATCTTGAAAAAGGTGGGTAACTGTTCTGGGCTTCAAATATTTCATTGTAAAGTGAGGAGAGCTGACTCTTAACATTTTATTTACTCTTCTTTTATGATAACCCAAATGTACAAAAGAAAAATTGGAAGAGGTGTGAAAATGAATTCAGTGTTACACAGGTAAAATATTTGCCCTTTTCAAAGAAACAAAAAGGAAAGTGTTTATTTTTTAACCAAAATCTAATTCACTAACTCATCAGTTATATTAAAAATTTGTAGAATAAAAATTATTTTGATGCTGAATCCTTGAGTGTTTCGAAGTTGTTTTTTCTATTATAGATGGTATACTAGCAATATTTCAATGCCATTTTTTTCTGCAGATAGTATTGTTTATTAAAATAGTACCTCAGGTGGAGTTATCCCTAGCGGCACACAGATTGAATGGGACTTTCCCCAAGAGGGTGAAGCAAGCTGGTCCCAGCTATAATTGCACTGTCTGCTGCTTCCTCTCCCATACCATGTTTTTATCCAGGAGAAAACAGATGTCAAAAGAAATCTTTTAAGAGGGAAGTAAAAAAAGGTCAGTGTGCAGTTTGAGAGGCTAGAGGGAAAGCTTACAATTTGTTTCCCTTTGGGCTCCACCAACCCCATCAGCCAGTGACAGCTGCCATCCCTTTTCACTTAACTGCAGAGCTGCCAAGCATTGCAGTAGCCAGGAGCCCTGAAATCCAAAGTTTGGTGTTTTACCCTACCGATTATTCCCAAGTGCGGGAGTCGGCGAAAATGAAAGCAGTCAAGAGGTTCTCTTTCTCTGTCTGCCTGTTGTTCCGTTGTTCTGGCCTGGCTCAGCAAGTCTTTATTTTTATACTTAAAACTACACAGTACATAATGAATTACACTTTGATCTTTTCTTGAATTATTACACAGTTAATCACAACATTCTTGCACCTGGTCATTAGACAACTTTGACAAAAATATTTCTGTGATGTTCAAACTGACTTTTATCTTCCCCAGTATGTGATAAATTGTTTCTTCTTATTGCCACTAAAAGATTAAGTCAAAATTTACACAAATCATTTCTACTTATCAGACTGCTGATTACATTTTCTTAGTAACATAAGTTTCTATTAATCATCAATGCTTGCACTACTTTATTATTTCTACTAACTGATTATCAATCTTCTACATAATGTACGATTATTTTCATAAAAAGTATTACTAACATCTACTTCTTTATTTTTCTAAAGTATTCATTATTAAATTGCTTGGAAGCTATGTGACATAAAGCCCAACCTGGCTAATTGCTGCAGGAAATGTAGATTATCAGGTTAAAACTACCCTTCACTTAAGTTCATTATTTTCTGCTTATTTACGCAGATGCTTATATGTAGGGGTTTGTGAATTCTGGCTGGTGACTGATTGTGGTGAGGTCTATAGGGGTAGGTCAGCTTAACTTTAATTTGCTATCTGCTTTTGTGGTCTCACAAATGCAGTTACTTTGTACTTAGGTTTTCTGTGAAAGGGAATAATTTATACAATTCTCTTTGAACTCAGGCTACTGAAGTCGAGATGATTGTCTCTTCCCAAGGTTTGTAGAGCTCACAGTAAAAAGCTGTGAATGTGGCAATATTATATATTCTTACAAGTGAATTCAGCGTTAACTTGAAGGGAAGATAGGGACCAGTTTTTTGAGAGTCATTTGCTATGCACAATGTCTCTCCCCCCGCTGCGACTGTGTCAAACACCGGGAGTTAAGTGCTTCCCGCAGCCGAGAAATAGTTCTTGCTGCAGTTTCAATTCTTTCACGAGCATCATTTCCAGTAATGTAACTGAAAACAAAGATTGTGACATCCAAATGACATAGTATAAGTAAATATGAAGGTATTAGTGGTTTCTAAAGAAACAATAACATAGTCCTTGTGTTCAGACTATGTTCAGTTCTTATGTTTAGACAGAACTATACATATTCAAATAAAACAATGTTATAAATGTAAGAAAAAGTACAAATAATTAGAATTCAGAATAGTCCTGAGTATTCTTTGTAATAAAGTATATTCCACCCACCCTAAAATAATATTTAGGGAATTTACATATTTACACCTTATAAAATCACTCTTGTTCTTTTTTCGTAGCTGAAATTACCTCTCCATGTCCCTCCCCCTTTTGTTTTCTTTTGTTGGCCTATAGTTTTCAACAGTACAATATGCAAGTATACTTTGGCCCCAGTTTCTGCTTAACCACATGTTGTTGTTGTTGTCAGGTGCCATCGAGTCGGAACCGACTCATAGTGACCCCATGCACAGCAGAACGAAACAATGTCCGATCCTGGGCCAACCTCACT